TTACTCTTACCGAAGTTTGTTCCTCAAGTATTCACCTATATTACCTCTCCCTGTTTAAGATCCTTAACTTATGGGAGTGATTAAGAAAATATAAATACCTAGTGTTCCGGTCCCCCTCCTTTAACCATTTTTCTCTTGCCTTTTATCTCCAAGAAATTGCCTCCATGTTTAGTTTAAATGCCACTTTTTTCCTCATTGGTTCTCTTTTATTGCGTTCTGGTTCATCAATTGTTCCATTCCCCTCAAGCCTGTCAATTTCTTCAATACCTTTAAAACAATTGTTGATATCTTCATTTATTCTCTCCTCCTCTTCTTTTGACCATTTTTTGATTGCATTTTTGACATCCGTTAACTTTGCAGCAAACTTGAAACTAGCCGTTCCTTTTGTCTTGTTGTTCTGCCATATTTCTAACACCAACCGCCTGCATCCATCTACCTTCAGCCATTTGCTATCAAATCTAAAAGGCATGGGGCCCCATTTAATGCTATCTGGAGTTAAACAAATTGGGAAATGATCCGATATAGGTCTCTCCAATACTGATTGAGTTAAACCATCAATTTGCATCACGAGGTCTTGTGATATGAGAAATCAATCAATTCTCGAACATGAAGGGACACTTCTCATGTTTGACCATGTCCATCTCCCACCCCATTTAGAGGTAGATCAATCAAATTTAACTCTTCCACAATCTCCCTGAATTCCTCAATTTCATTTTCAGAGTTACCTTTGCTTGTCCTTTCCCCTTTTTTTAGTATCATATTGAAATCTCCACCCACCCCTCATCTATGCCCCCAACATTTGCTACATTCTTTTAATTCCTCCCAAAGAGTTTTTTTCTCCTCCTTTGTTGCCCTGCAATATACCCCTGTGAAAACCCAACTTTCCTTTCCTCCATGACGATCTTCAAATAAACAGGAAATTGAGGTTCTGCCAACCACCACTTTTTTGCAAATGAATCTGTCACCTCTCCATAATATCAAAACTCCCTCTGCTCTCCCCACAGCTGGAAGAGAGTTCCAACAAATGTTTGACTCTTCCCATACACTCCTTACCTCTTTCTCCCCTCTATTTCCTCCATTTTGGTTTCTTGTAAGCATATTATGTCCAGTTTCAACTTTCTAATACAACCACTAATAACGCTTCTTTTAGTTTTATCGTTCATTCCCCTCACATTCCAATATATAATTTTTCCAATCATTTAACGATAATAGATCCCTTTCCCTCCTCCCTCTTTTCCTTCTTATTTTTACAATCATAGTTTACCGAAGATTGTAGTCTTTTAGCTCCCTGCAGCAACTACTTCCCTGTTTCTCTTCCCCTTGGCACCTGGAGTTCCACATAAATTACCCCCACCATTCATCAATATGACTTCTTTTACCTCTTTAATGTCACCAGCTGCTGCCACCTTCTTCTTTTTCTTTAAGTCCGGGTTTGATAATGGAATCCCAGCCAACTCAAAGATTGTTTTCATCAGTTTCCACCATCCACCCGCTTCATAACCTTCTGGGATGATAATTTTTTTCCTGTTTCTTCCTCGCACCTCAGTCAAAACAAGAAACCTTCCACCACTATTTCTTCCTGTTCGAATATTATAGAATATCTCTATACATAATTAGGTGATTATGTTTCCAAATGTATTAAATTAATTAGAAAAGAAATTAATGGGTAATTTATGCTGGTTACCATATATGAATCTATTTATATATATATATCCTCTCTCTCTGTAGAAAATGTTGTAATAAATTAGGTAATTCTTATTCTCCATACAGAGTGGAATATTCCTAGCAGGTGAGGTGTCATTCTTCTAGAAGTTAAGGTGGCATGATAACAACATAAATCTGTTATCACCCCTTCCTCCCATTTCTGAAAAGATGTCTGTTTTTTCTTCTATAAATGGCACCCTTTGGTGCCTGAAATTAATAAGAGAAAAAAGGAGAGAATTCCTTCACAAAAATCTCCATTCACAAAACTCTTCATGGTATCAAAGCCCTGATCTGAGAGCTTCCTTTAACTGAGCCAAAATTCAATTGGTCACAAACAAACTCAATTCCTCTCCTCCTGAAGTCTCTTCAGGTTCCTACCTCCCCACAACTCCGAACCACAACCTAGTTGAGCAGGCATCATCGTTCATCACGGGGCACAAACTGAACGGACAGAACTACCTTCAATGGTCAACGTATGTCTTACTGTTTATTCGCGGCAAGGGCCGCGACGATTACCTCACAGGTGAAACTATCCCTCCCGCAACCAGCGACCCAAGTTTTCGCATCAGGAAAATAGAGAATAGCATAGTAATGTCGTGGCTTATTAACTCAATGGTGCCCGACATTGGTGAGAACTTCATGCTATGTGAAACAGCAAAGGAAATCTAAGAAGTGGCTCGCGAATCGTACTCCAGCAAAGATAACGTCTCCGCCATCTTTGAGGTGGAGTCGACTATCCATGAGTTGCGTCAGGGTGAGCTTTCGGTTACCCAGTACTTTATTTACTAACCCAGAGCTGGCAGCAACTGGATACCTTCGAGAAGCATCAATGGAGTTGTCCAAATGATGCTCGGACGTTCAGACTCTTTGTTGAGCAAAAAAGAATCTTCAAATTCTTGATGGAGCTCAACAAAAAGTCTGGATGAGGTTCGTGGACAGGTGTTGGGAATGAAACCACTACCCAGCATCTGAGAAGTGTTCGCGAAAATCCGAAGAGAAGAGAGCAAGAGGTGGGTGATGATGGGAAAAGCTCAGCCTATCTACTCTGCCGAAAGTGTCTCTGCACTCACCACGCGGTCTGATTCCCGTGGAAAGAAGGGAAGACCGTATTGTGATCACTGCAGGAGACTCGGCCATGTCCGCAAGAAATGTTGAAAGTTGTACAAGAAACCCAACGAAAATAAGGCCGAAAGAACAAAGAGCAATGGAAACCGTCAAGGAAATATTGCTGCTTCAACTGTTAAAGAAAATGTTGCAGAAAGCAATCCGTTCAATGCTGCACAAATAGAGATCCTTCAACAATTATTCAAGCAGAATTGTTTGCCTACTCAACTCGTGCGTGCTTCGGTGGCACAAAAAGGTAAAGCAACAATTGGTTTGACAGCAGGTTCTTCAAAACAGAACATACGATTGGTTGATTCTAGAGCATCAAACCATATGATGGGTAATGTATCCCTATTTCAAAATTACAAAACATCATATGAGGATTTCACAATTAAAATGGCAGACGCGTCAATCTCCAAAGTAGCTGGAACTCGTTCCATTGTTTTAACACCACAGTTGACCTTTCATTCAGTACTTTATGTACCAAAATTGGACTGCAATTTACTATCGGTTAGCAAACTTTCTATTGATCTAAACTATGTTGCTAAATTTGGTTCAAAAATATGTGAATTTCAGGACTTGGAATCGGGGATGACAATTGGCAATGCTAGGATGCACTCAGGCTTGTATCTCCTTCAAACAGATCCTTCTATAAGACAAGCTCAAACGGCAATATGTACAAACTCTGTTCTTGAGAGTTAATCAAATAATGATCATGATATCAAATCATAGCATTACCGCTTTAGGTCATCCAAACTTTTTGTATCTACAAAAGATGTTTCCCTTATTGTTCAAAAATAAAAATTCACTTTTTTTTCAATGTGAAGTATGTCAAATCTCTAAATATAGTCGAAACTCTTTTGCAAGTCTGCCATAAAAACCTTCCAAACCGTTTGCATTAATTCACAATGATGTTTGGGGACCTTACAAGGTTATCAACATATCCGGAAATAAGTGATTTGTATCCTTTATTGATGATCACACTAGAATCATTTGGGTCCTCCTAATGAAAGAAAAATCCGAAGTAGAAGTCATTTTCAAAAGATTCAATACTATGATCCAAACTCAGTTTCATACCACTATATAGGTACTTAAAACTGATAATGCCTGTGAATATTTTGAAACCACTCTTGGGAAATACTTTGAGAAACATGGTATTATTCACCAAAGTTCTTGTGTATACACCCCTCAGCAAAATGGCATAACCGAACGAAAAAACAGACGTATTCTTGAAGTCACCAGATCCGTTATGTTCACTACCCATGTTCCTAAGTTTCTTTGGGGAGAGTCAATACTCAC